ACAGGCTGGTTCTCGCGCGCAACAGGTTGAAGGCCGACACTGTGACGGCCGCTGCTGCAGGACTGCTGCAAGCACACTACCTGCGAGATCATAAAACTACTTCACAGACGTAGTGTCAGTAAAGTAATGAATTTGTTCGATATTATTAAATTTTCATTATGTTTTTGTGGTAAGAGCTGGTGCTGATGTTAGGATTGCAGTATCATGTAAGAAATAACATACAGCTTCCTTCAAAAAATTTTCTTACCAAATTCAACCTAAAATATCCTCACAGATCAGTTTTTCCTACTCTGAAGTACATTTTGTTCTTATATCACTCCAGACAATTCATATTCAAAAGATTGCGGAGTTTCACATTCGTATTTAGAAGCGAGTGTAACACAATGCTATGCTAGTAATACCTAAACAATGGTTGATGGTCTTAAGTTTTGGGGTGACTGATACATAATGTTAGTGATAACTGTACAACGGTTGATTGGCATAATATTAGGAGTGACAGAAACATAATGTTAGTGATGACTATACAATGGTTGATTGGCTTAAGTTTAGCAGTGACTGATAGATAATGTTAGTGATAACTGTATAACGGTTGATTGGCATAATATTAGGAGTGACAGAAACATAATGCTAGTGATAACTTAACAATGGTTGATTGGCTTAATATTAAGAGTGACTGAAACATAATGTTGGTGATAACTTAAAAATGGTTGTTTGGCTACACATGGCCTGCCGAACGAAAGCGACCTCACGATCACCAGTGAATCCCAGAGATCGCGGCGCTAAATTGTGTGTCTGTGAGCTGCAAACAAGACCTCGAGGCCTCAGGGATGGGAAAAAAGATGAGTGAATTACAGAGGCGACGATGGATATTTCAGTCCTCTGGAGGACACCGATCGGGATTAGATATAATGATAAGAATTACATTGCATGGTCCTGATACTGAGTTTTTTCTTGTTTGAGAAGGATTTGTTGGAGAGAAAAGTAGACATTTTAATGACATGAGTATGATGCCATCGCCGTGTGTTGAGTGACAGGAGTATGATGCCATCGCCGTGTGTTGGGTGACAGGAGTATGATGTCATCGCCGTGTGTTGAGTGACAGGAGTATGATGTCATCGCCGAGTGTTGGGTGACAGGAGTGTGATGTCATCGCCGTGTGTTGGGTGACAGGAGTGTGATGTCATCGCCGTGTGTTGGGTGACAGGAGTATGATGCCATCGCCGTGTGTTGGGTGACGGGAATATGATGCCATTGCCCAATGCTTTGTAACTAAAATATCAGCGAAGACTTCGTTTGAGTGCGTTTTAGTAGTTGTAGGATACTCTATGCAAAACCTCTCAATTTAAGCGTTTATATGTTATTTATTGGTAAGTTTGCTGAAATTTCTCAAGAAATACGTTCTTAATAATTTCGACTGAAGCTTTTGTAACTACGCTTTTAATCAGGCTCGTGTGATACGATGCTTTGCATTCATGTTTCTGAAGCTGGCGTGATCGTCCTCGGGTCTGTCGACCACCGTATTCCGTAGACAACTCTTCTTTACCGATTTATTATCAACTTATTTTCTAAACTCCTCGATCATTATCGCGTGTTTCGACTATTTTTAGCGCATTTTCTCATTTATGGAAAAAAATGCACTACTGTAGGTACACGTCATGTCCGTCTATCTGTCTGTCTGTCTATCTGTCCGTCTGCCCGTCTGTCCGTCCGTCCGTGACCTCAAGTTTTCGTCAATGAGAAAATGCGCTCTCTGTCACTCATTGCAGTGAGTACCGAGTTACATTTTTTATGTTTGGTGGTCTCAAGTTTTCCTTGAATTTCATCAAGACGAATTTCGAATTTTATCTTGTATCTTGATACGTTTAATCTCATCAGCTTATATCTAAGTTGAAGTGAAGCATTCATATCCACGTTACTTTTACGCCAAATAAACGCTTGTAATTAGGAGCTTCACTAACAACTTATTTCTGCTCGTGAAGCACAAGCGCGAGGCGTGCGAGACGCCATTGATGGCAATGGACTATTCCGCAGAAAGAAATATTGCCAGTTTCACTGCATCTTCATTCAACCGTTTCTGTTTCGAAGTTCTTTGTTCTAACTCGAGGTTTTGTTTTTCCCATTGATAACGCCATTCATTGTTTATCCTCCTATGGCCTTACATTTTTTCTTTGTTATTGCGTAATTTATTTTCTTCCAAAAAATATTTCCTGTAAATTCCGCGCTTCCTTTATTATCCTCGATAAGTTAACGTTAAGGCTGCAATTCCCAATTGATAGTCTTTAACTGGAAACTTTTCGTCATGTTTCAAATTCTTTTATTATTTCACATAGACATTACCTTTCCTAGGTCATGCATCATTTATTTACACAGTCTTCACATGCCGCAGTGCCTGCCCTTATAATCCTTCTCCTCTATAATATTCCTTCCTCACTATACTACTCCTTTTTAATATTGTTCCCATATTGTATTCTTTCTACTCTATAATATTCCTCTCCTATCGTATTACTTCTCCTTTATAATATCATTCCTATATTATACTCCTCCCTTATAATATTCCTCCTATATTATACTCCTCCCTTATAATATTCCTCCTATATTATACTCCTCCTTCATAATATTCCTCCTATATTATACTCCTCCTTCATAATATTCCTCCTATATTATACTCCTCCTTCATAATATTCCTCATATATTATACTCCTCTTCAATAATATTCCTCCTATATTATACTCCTCCTTCATAATATCCCTCATTTATTACACTCCTCTTCAATAATATTCCTCCTAAATAATATTAATCCTGCTCTATAATCCCAGCATTTTTATACGCAGCGACGACGCGTGGCCGTAGCCTCCCCGCCCGCCCTGCCTCCACACTCAATCAGCCCTCGCGCTCAGAGTGCGGACAGCTCTGTTCTTCTGGTGCAAGCATTCTACTCATTCCTGTTCACTCCATCTCATACTACCTCACCCTACCTTCATCATATCTCTCTATTAATCTTCTCATAACTCTCTCTACTCTCATCATATCTCTGTCTACTCTAATCACAACTCTCTCAACCCTCATCATAACTCTCTCAACCCTCATCATAACTCTCTCAACCCTCATCTTAACTCTCAACCCTCATCATAACTCTCAACCCTCATCATAACTCGCTCAACCCTCATCATAACTCTCAACTCTCATCATAACTCTCTCAACCCTCATCATAACTCTCTCAACCCTCATCATAACTCGCTCAACCCTCATCATAACTCACTCAACCCTCATCATAACTCACTCAACCCTCATCATAACTCTCTCAACCCTCATCATAACTCTCTCAACCCTCATCATAACTCTCTCAACCCTCATCATAACTCGCTCAACCCTCATCATAACTTACCCTCTCCGTCTCAGCTACGCCGCACAAGGTCCAAATGAAAATACAGAAAAGGACAATCGGGTATAAAATGTGAAGATAATCGTGAATCGTACATCAGTATATATTGAAGTCGGAAATTATTAGTATAATTTCTATGTTGTCTCTTAAATTAATTGACGCTTAGGTTTGTTTATCGACGCATCCGGGCTTTGATAACGATTGGACGAAATTATTTTATTCGGAAATTTTGAATCCCTTAAATTCAATCTAAAAAATGAAAAATCTCTCAACTCTGTTTCCTCACATATCATTTAACTCGCTTATATGCAATGCACACTTGAAGGTTCGCGGTGGTGTAAACTGCACTTCATTCGTGCTCCTCTTCAATCAGATCTTCCTTCTCTCTCAATCAAGTCCCTACAATATACGCTATATGTTCACGTATCTTTCATTCTTTTGTTATTTCCTGCTTTCTCATTCTCTCAGCCACTTTTCTATCGTATCTTTCGCTCTACAAATCATTATTCTTTCTCATCCTACAAAGCTCAACCATTTCTCTTTCACATCTTTTGATCAACAAAATTCCTCCTGCCTAGCATCTCGGGCTCCCACAACCATCTCTATCCAACATCCATGGCACCTAAAACCATTTCTCGTACATTTCCAGCGGTTCAACCATTACTCCCCCATATGCAAGACTCCCACAACCATTTCCCTGTCGCATGGGACGCTAGCATCGCTCGCTCGACTCCCTCATGGAGAGCCTGAGGCAGCCAGACTCTCTCCCTCAGCAGCCTCTTCTGGCCGAGGGGAATCGTGGTGGTGGTGGCGGTGATGGTGGCTGAGCATGCACCCTCGTCACCAGCCCTCGCCAGCAGCAGAAGCAACAGCAGCAGCAGCGATGTCTCTCAGTTGCTCGCCGTCGCTCGTCTCTGTGACACACAAGACTCTCCGCGCCAGCTCCTAGCTCCCGCGGCCTCTATTGCCACAGCCCCGTTGTCATACCACATCCTCCATACCCCGCACGCTGCTGCTTTATCAGCATCTTCTCCGTATTCCTCATAAGGATCTAGCAGTCAGTATTTAAAGTCCTTGCTGAAGTTTTCAGTTCTTCTCCGATTGCTGGCCGGTCTTGCTTTTGAGCTGCGCCCCGTTTTTACTCGAGAGATACTTAACCTCACTTGAACCAGTCAAGTTTTTAATCCGGAACAAAACATATCATTGGAATATATCAAATACCGTACAGTGTAATTGAGTGGTCTGTAAACTTGGCTCATTTCAAACGAGCCATCTACATACGTCATATCAAATTCAACGAGAAAAGGAAGCTCTCGTCCTCTTTCGCCCACCCTCCCTTGTTCTCTCTAAAGCAGCGAGTGAGGCAGCAGAGAAGCAGCCTCCATCACCTCGGCTCTCTCCCGCCACAGCATCTTGCCAACGTCGAGACAACGTGACAAACAATTTCGCTTATCGACGACGTAACTTGAAGTTGTTAGAAGTTCAGTAACTTGTCGCAGTGATCTATAAGCTTATCTCGTGGTCGTTCAAAGTGTCGCGCGAAGCAACAGACTTTGAATCTTTGAAGTAACTGCACAGTGAAAGAAGTGTAAGCAGTCCAAACTATCACTGTTATAGACTGAAGTGAATCTGAAGGGCACCCTGGACGAAGTGTGTTCAGCAACAGTACCCTTCATTCCTTCCTTCTGCACCCCACCACTTGGTCGCGATTGCGCTCAGCAACAGTCGCGTGGTCCAGCCTGTACCGCCACTATTTTAGCTCCATTTCATCCACCTGTTCGCCCTTTACCACCAACTCATTTCACTTTGACCCCTGAAACTTACCCGACGTCATTCCTACACCAACCGACAGTCGCTGCCGCCCCTCAGCCGACGCCTTTTCGCCTCCACGTTCCAGCGTCTGTCGCCGCCGCCCCGCCGCCGCCGGCCTTCATCTACAGCTACCCTTTAGGTAAGCACACTAATTACTATATGTTCTATATATTTTTATTTCAATTAGAAGGTAGTTTTTAATTCTATATGATTTAATTGAATCTATACCGAAGCTCTGATAGCTCCAGCACGTGTAAACTTTTTATACTGTGGACCCAAGGTCGTATTAGAGACATGTTTCCTGCATGTGAAATAGGCCACACCAAGCATGTCCCGAGCTCTTTAGTTACATCGTTCTATTTTATGGGTTTGATGAATTTTTTATCTCATATTTTTATCTGTTTTTGTTTTCTACTTCTATCAATGTTTTTCGTTATTTATTTTTAGTTGCGATAAGCATTTGTTATTTACTTTTTAATATCAACCTAATTTACTGACGCTAAAAACCGTGACTGCTCCATTTTGCTTCCAGTCGGGGATCATCAAACCATAATTTTAATCAAGAGCTATGAACTTTCGATCCCGCTGAAAGATTCGACCAGGACTTGTTTTCACGAACAACTCGTTTGGCGCAGTTTCTTATCTTTTATCTGGTCTCTCTTCGGCGGTCAAGTCCTTACTTATTCAGGTAGCGTGGGTCCCATCCATGGTCTTTTCTTCGCCCACAAGCGCTGAATTATTGGCTGGCTGCTACACTAAATATGCTGAGGCTTTAAATATTCGTTATTTCCGGAATTTCTTGCGATGCTTTTCTATTCCGACGTTTCAATTTTTGCAACCGAAAAAATAATTTATTTTATGACATATTTTACGATGCTGAAGAAATGATAAATATTTTAATCTGTAAATTAAAAAGCAGTAATATCCAATCAATTTTTAACATGATGGGATCCCCCAAATTATTTTTTCTCATATGTTATTCAGTTGAATAATTACCGTTCACGAGTATGCATTTTCAGTAAATATTTTCGAACACTCATTTGAAATTGATTTTTTTTGCATGCACATCTCGCTTATTTATCATGTTATTTCAACGTTTTATAACTACGCACATTTATTTTGATAACTTCTTTATATTTAACTTAAAGTTAGTCTTTATGGAAGAACGACTCTCAGTTGGAATACCGAACACATTTTTTAACAGAGAAAAATTCACAATGAATTAATCTTAAATGTTTTTTTAATGCTTGTGGCTTTTTAAAGCTTGGATTACTAGTTTCAATGAGTTTATACCTAAAATTGAAGAGCTCTCGACTATTGTTTATCAATCAGGTTACGCCACGTGTTTTTGCCACGTAGACAGTCGTACAGCTTCTTACAGTACATTGATTTTGAGTCAGAAATCATATCATTGTAACCCTGACTGTATTGCCATGGCCTCTTCAGCACTGACAGCGCTTTCAGTCACTATGACATTCTTATGTCTGCATGTGGCTGGTTGTTTCTAGGCAAATTCATTTTAATAACATTTTCTTATGTATATATCTTTATAATTACATCTAGCCGTCTATATATGTATATTTTTTTACTTTACTGTTTGTGTCAACAAAATTTCGGCTGATTCGTGAACGTTTTCGATCTGTTGTGCCTGTAAAATGAAGAGTGATATAAATTTCTAAATCTGTGCCTGAAATTTAAAGATGTTGGCGTAAGCCAACCATTATATTGGTATATTTGGCATGTGTATTGTTCACGTAGACTCAGAGCGAGAGAAAAGGTTCACTAGGCATCATCTACCATCTTTATGGAGAACTGTGCCAAGCCTCGCGTTGTTTACTCGTTGTCTTGCTGCGAATTACTGAGCGTTTTGAAGCAGGTTTACGACGTTCCTTAATGTAGGTTTACGCAGGAAAATTCATAGCATTAGTTCGATACGTGACATCTTGCAGACTTCCTCCCGTAAAGCTCGGCAAGTTTCGTTTTATTGCTGCTGTGATGCCATGAAGTCGAGCTTGCCCTCGATCATGGCAGCCATAGCATAGCATGGTTTGATACAGACCCTGCATGAGCAAGGGCAGGCTTCTTATACAGCGCACTGTGTTCGCTCGTTAGGAGAATTGATTTTGTTTCTGCGCCACACATGTATGGAAATTAATACCTGACTTACGTAACATTTTTCTTTCCTCATTAACTATTACTCAATGTCATTTTTGAAGTATTTACATTTATGCTTTTTGTTATCATTAGCATTGCGACCGGTATTGCTATGTCCTAGTTGCAAACGTGACATTCACAGATCGATCATGAATCACATTTCGGCTACAAATCTTTAAAAAAAATGTCATTAGGCGATTAAATGCCTTCAAAGGCATTGATATAAATGACGTCATAATACAATTGTTTTCCTCTATTAAAAACTAGAAAGCTTTCTCTCTCAAACGAAGCCGAACGATTTTTCATGATTGAACGCTTGACTGAAATTCAGTAGGCGGCCATTGGATGAATGCGACCATAACTCTCGAGATATAAGCTTCATCAGAGGCATTCAAAAACAGTATTTGTCGCAAGACCTAAATATCTGCCAAAATAGCAGGACCCAGTTCACGCCACTGGTGAATGGACGCTATTTGCTTTGGGTTAGCTGAAACATGCTTGTGTTGTTCATCGGCCGACACTCATTACATGCAGAAGCATCCGCAAATATGGACTTTGCGATTTTCGATACATTTCTCTAAAGGTTCTAGATATGTTGTGTTCTTAGAATTACTGCATGATTAATAAATATCATGTTTCGTAAGTAATAATTTGGATAGATGAAATGAAGCGAGAAATTAAATGAATGGATTTTTTTCATGAATCATCAAATTGAATGAGAATTTCTCGCACATGAGGAACGGCGAAGCTATTTCCTTTCAAGAGAGGCTTCAATCCTCGCGGGGATGGAAACAAATGATTTTTCTTAAGTCTGAGACGTCTTGTTTATATTTTTTCGCCATAATCTTTGACGTCGCAGAAATAAATAAAGCTATGGCAAATTATTTGCTAAATCTCGATACCTGCACCAGTATGTCCTGCCCTAACCTATCGATCTCAACTCGTTCACCAAACACTTTGGTAAACACTCGAAAGTGTTTGTTGACGGAACCCCAAGGAGAGTGGCTGGGAACACGTTCTCCGGCTTCCACTTTACTCTAGTGGATCACCCAGCATCATGGTACAATGACGCTCATTTATTAAGGAGCCTCAGCCCCATCGTGTGCATTTTTTGCTATTATAAAACCGCTGTAAACTCGCGGATTGTGCAAAAAATTCCGTCGTCGTAGGTATTATTCACGCACACCATGCAGTCCATGAATGTAAAGAACAAAAGCGCGCGCTTGGCCAAATGTTCCGTTATATAGTATCGTTGCTCACGGAGCACTGCAGGATTGGTTCATCATGAACGGAGATATTTCTTCTCATGGAAATTCTTTGCATTTGAATACAATTCTTCGTTTCTGATTATAAATTTAAGCCGTTTTATAAATTAGATTATTCCAAAAATTCAACCTGAGAGCCACGAAAAAGAAATTTGTTTTACGAAGTCGAGCACAAGAAAAAATCCTGCCTACAAATACAGCTTATTACATAATTATTCGTCTATGTCATACTATTGGGTATTACCATTTTTATTAGAATTCTCTATCTACTTACAACTTATTAAAAAATACGGATGGGAGGAGACATCATTATGCCTATTGATATGTTCAGTTTGGTCCCAGCGAAAAAAACGCCAAATCAGGTAACCTAGACTGCAGGGAAACTTTCAGGGAACCTACTGTAACTTCTGTTTTTACATAGATTGTTATTCACGTTAATTCTACATAACATTACCACAATGAAATAGGGACATATGTAGTTCAAATAAAGTATTTTCTAAATATTTCTCTGGTGAGATCAGATTGGAAATGCCTCGGTATGAAATGTTGCCGTGGGAGGCTTAGTCGCTAATTCCCGCGTCGGGCTCAATACTCACACGCAGGAACATTTTCGCTGCACTAAACTCAGCTTACGTGCTAAAGCTACGGAAAATCACACGATTGCATGTGAATTTAGTATAAATATTTCGTTCTGGCAGTTCATCATGCACGCTTTAGTTTATCACCTATTTTTCAAACTTCTAATGCTGGTGTTCTGTATTTTTCTGTAAAAACTATCAATGAACCTATACAACTGAAAATTTATTTCCCATCCAAAATGAGCGATGTTATGAGCCTTCAAATCATAATAAATGCAATACTATAGATTTGTTCAAAAATTATTCCTTGTCCTGCAAAACTTTTAAAGACACTATTGCTTCTTTCTCGCCTCCTGCACGACGTTTTATTGGTAGTGCGATCTTTGAAGCCTTTTTTTCATTTGTTCTTCTTCGATTATTGGAAATACTGTTGCTGACACACAGTCAAAAAGAGTTCTAAAATACGAATAATATTTTTATACAGGTGAAGAATCTCTTTACTTATTAGAATCCCATTCCTCTTTAATTAATAAAATGCCAGAGTATCTGCCTTTCATTCTGCGAAATAGCCACACCCTTCAAGCAACACCTGTTTGAAGTGGACATAAACACTCCACTTGAGATATCAGCGGGTAGTTCACTGTCACTCTAAGGGGTGAAGCAATCATCAGCTGCTTAGCAGCACGCGCCCTGACTCAACGCTACCGCCCTCTCCTCACCCTCTCACTGCACGGTATGGCTGCCTTCACACCCTCTCACTGCACGGTATGGCTGCCTTCACACCCTCTCACTGCACGGTATGGCTGCCTTCNGCTGCCTTCACATCTTCTCACTGCACGGCATGGCTGCCTTCACACCTTCTCACTGCACGGCATGGCTCTATTTCCTGTGGCCTGATTTTTTTAGATTCTGAATGCTCTCTCTAATTTTAGGGTTTTACTATAAAGACAGTTTGTAAACAATTATTACATTAAGAATGAATTAATTGCAACAATTTTATAATCTTATCAGTTATTGATTAGTTTGTGGGACAGCAGCGGCTCGCAATTTTTTTTCATTTCCATGCTTATAATGTTACCGGTTCATTCCCAATTTCTCCTTATTTGAGATTGATAAATTGTGACAAAATGTTACTGCGATCA